TCTTGCCAGACCAGTTGCCACTTCTGCCCAAGCGAAAACGGCCACTTGCGGCTTGACCGAGTTCCCGGGCCAGGGGACAAGACGAGACGCCTCTTTCTGTGCTTCCGGCTCGCTCGTTCAACAGCGAGTACCCCTTGCCCAACTTGTGGGAGGCGCCTCCCCGTCACCCCGCGGCGTCGCAACCATGGTGGCGACTGGCGACCCCTAGTCCCTCGCTCACCCATGCCGTCGTCGATCGCGTCACGGGCCAAAAAGAAAGTCGCGGGCTTAATCAAAGCGAAAAGCCGCCCGGTGACGCGACGCGACGGCCAGCCGAGACCAGCTGCGCCCTCTGTTGCTTCCTCGGCTCCGTTCCGCTCGTGGTTAAAGGGGGGAGAGAATTATTTTAGTCCAGTTGCCGCTTGGGGCGGCCGGGGGGCGCCTATGCGCTGCTGCGACCGGCGAGGGCGCAGCGATGGCGACGTCGCGGAGCTGCGGACGCAGCACCGGCGACGCGCGCGGGCCTGAGCTTATCCACCCGCGCCGCGCACACGCGCTTCTCGCATCGGCCTGTGGATAATAACGGTGGAATTCCGGGTCAGTTCCAGCTGCTGATGCTGACGGTCTTCGACGGCTGGAAGAATACTTGGCCCGTGGTTTCTTAATCAGTTAATCTGCGGGTGCAGAACTGCATATCCCAGCTGCTGCAAGGTGCAAAGGGTGTGTTACCATCGCACTGCCTCGTATTTCTTTTCTGAAAAACAGCAGGAGCACTGCTAATTCATTTAATAAGAAGAGAAATCCAGGTTACAATGAGTGATTGATATTTTCTCAGATCTTTTTTGAGTGATGATCAGAGGTTGCTGATAGAGACCAGACCACTGCAGAAGAAACGTGCGGTACTGAAACTGAACACTGTCCGGAACGCGTCAGAAAAGAATATCAACAGACGCATAAGCTGTGATTAGGGATGTTACAGCTGCGCCGATCGACTCTCTGATTGTCATGCTGTGAATTTGGGCAAACCTTCAAGTCACAGTCACTCTCATACTGGACATCGATGGCGCATACAAATGAATGAACATGCGACTTCAGGAAACCTTTCTATCGGAGAGCAGAACACAGCGGACATTCATTTTGCTTGCTGAAATTTCTTTTTTTTCAGAACAAAAACCCCGCATATGCAGGTATCACTGTCAACTGTTGACGTGGCAATTTGCATATCAAACTGTATGTAGGTACTAGAGGTAGCATCAGTTCTGAGTGCTGACATGCGAACGTTCTGACTGACTGTCAACGAAACATGGGCGAGGCCGCCCCTGTTTCCCATTGTATAGTTGTATATGCAGGTGGATTTCTCAGGTGACCTTAGCCTGTGGCATACAAAAATGCACTATCTTGTGGATTTTTTTTTCTCGAATACACACAAGTGATGCGTATCATTGTATTAGGTAGAAAGAGTTTGACCAATACAAGCCGTTCCACGGCCGCGTTAGTGTTTTGCAAGTGCTACATTTTGAAACAAACAACATTTAAGGGTGATCATCCCACCTACAGGCGAGCCAACGTTTCAAGCCCCCGTGCGCCGGCGTCGATCCACCGATCGGCCTCGGCCTTGACTAGCTGCAGCACCTCGATCACCGATGAGGATGCCTCCCTGAAGCACCTGGCGTTTCGTCTCCTGCAGACAAACGATCGTCGGCCGGATGTCACCGACTAGAGTACGAACACAGTCTCGCCGGGCCTTCGCGTTGAGACCACGCACGTTCCATGACAAGATAGTTGTGTTATCCATTGGTGATTACGACTGTGCGTTTGAAGGCCGCACTAGGCCCTGGCAGCCAAGGGCTGCCTCGTTGTTCTGACAGCCCTTGTCCTGGCGGCCGGGAACAACTCGTCAAGCGCAGCGACATGGCTCGCGGAGAGGTTGGAATCGAAGGAGTCCAGTGATTGCTGCGACGCCGGTGGTGGAGCAAACTGCAGTGTGCCTCCCATCTTCTTCTGGAGCAGCACCTCACCCCTCCTGGATGCTGGGATATGCCCCATCTGCTGTGCAGCAATGCGGCGGCTCCGTAGAGGCACGGGCGGCATCTTGGCTTGCGGTTTTTGCTTTGGCGGTGAGCGAATGTGTGGCGATCGCCGTTTAAGCTGAACCGCGTTGGTGAACGTGGCAAGCCTTTGGGCAGCCTCTGCCGTCGACCCGTCGTCGGTGTTGCGTTGTCGGAGATGCCCCCAGGAGTCAGCGTGGCGATTGCTGGGCTGGCTATCGAGTCAACGTCATTTGCCGGCTGGGCATGCAAGGCTGTTGGAGGCGTCTGGGCGATTTGGGACCCAGTGTGTTTGATGATAGTGGCCGTGGCTGCCTGCTCAGTAGTCGCTTCGCTCGCATCTTGGGCCACCTCGGCCGCGGGGCAGAAACAAACCCGTGGTCCATGGTGGGCTGCTTGGGCGGCTGACGATCTCCGTCCAACATTGCTTCTGCGGTCGTCTGTCTGGGTCCAGCCGGGGCTGCATCGTCGTTGTCCTGTGATGGCTCAGTCTGATTTGGGATCAACACCGAGGGGTGCGCCTGCTGTGTATCTTGCTTGTTTGGTGGGGTTGACACCATGGGCAGGCCTGCCTCAAAGACCATGGGGTCCAAGGCAAGGCTTGGCTCTGTGTCGTTTATGGCAACGGAATGAATTCCGATTTCAAGCTGGCACTGGTCTTGGCAAGGTATTGTGCTGCTTTTTCGTTCTTTTGCACCTTCCTGTGATACCTCTGGCAGAGTATCCTTTTTTCCCGCGCTAGCCGACGGTAATTGTGGCTGCCTGAGATGCGCTGGAACTGCGCCGCCATTTGCGGTGATGACGTTGTTGCTGACGTTTCTTGTCCAGCCCCCATGCACGCCGGCCCCGTTGTCGTTCATCGGGGCCTCTCCGTCGGCGACGCCTCGGTTGCATCGGAACCCCTGAATGCGGGGCCCGGTTCCCCGGTGGAAGTGGTGCCTTTCGGGGTTGCTGTCGTGGCCGCTGTCGCCGTCGTCGGACTCCGGCGGTGAAGAAGGTGGCGACGGGTTGGCCGTGTCGAAGTCGTAAACGTTCCGGATATGCACGAGAACGCGGTAGCTGAGGACGTCTTTCCGCCGGAGGTATGGAGGAAGGTTGCCGAAGTGGAGGTTGTTCGCCCTGGCGCCCACGATCTCGTTCTCGGCGATGTTCAACCACACCACCTTTGGGATGGCCCTTGGGTCACACGTCCAAGCCGAGAGCTTGTATGTGGAGAGGTCAGTCTTGTCAGCGGAGTGCGGATCGACGGACTGTAGCCAGCAGCTGGGAGCCAAGATTTTGGCCGCCGTGTCCTCGCTCCAGGCATGTGGGGGAACTCCCTCGAGCTCGATGGCGACCTTGAACTTCATCGTTGCTGTTTCCGCGTGAGCCAGGTGCGTCCATGGACGCAGCACCAACCACGTCCCGGGCACATGCAACGGCGACGCAGCCAGAATTCTGTCCCGGACCTGCATGGACTGGCACCGGACCAGGAAGTTCTCTGGGTAGAACGGAGCGACAGAGAATGAGCCCTCCGCCACACCGTCGATGCTCCGCATGGCGCGTGCTGCGTCGGCGATGGACACGATGCGCGTCGCATCAGCCGCCATGGCCGTGAGAGCCAGCCGAAGACCCGCCTCTGCGTTGTCGATGACCGCGCTCTCCCACTGCCGCTCCTCTGGGTGACCAGGTGGTAGGGGCTCGCGGTCATCCACGATGGAGCTGTCGGCGGCCGCCGGGGTAGGGGAGCCGGCTGGGGTGGTCCCGGTCGCCTGGGACCCGGCCGGAGTGCCAGGACTGTTCGAGCCGCGCCGTGCCTTGACGAACCGCTCCTGTCCGCGATCACCGCCCCGGCTGGCGCCCTGCGCCGGCGACCTTGGCCGCTTGCACTCCCATGCCAGGTGCCGGAATCCACGGCACTTCCAACATCTCAGCGGCAACTGGCAATTGGCGAGCCGATGGGAGAAGGACAGGCAGTTGAGACACCTGTCGCGCATGGCGTCGGGGATCCGTCGACGGCGGGGAGCCCGATGGCCGGCGTTCGCGACCCACTGCTCGTTGGTGATGGTGGCGCTGAGGTCGTCCGCTTTCCTGGAGAGCACCTTCCGTATCCGGTGGCGAGATCCGTCGGCGACCTCGTGCTGGGACGCGGGGGACGAGGCGAAGGTGTGCAGGTACGCGTTCCGCGTCGGCGCCAAGGCGTTGGCTTGCCGGAATGCGCGCGCCTCCGTCGACCCGGCTGCCCAGTCGCTGCTGGGCGGGGATGCACCCAAGGGGTTCCGCCGACCCGAACCCGCCGGATGGGCGCCTGGGCTTCCGCTTGCGCCTGCCCCGCTTGCGACGCGCTGGGAGGGCGCCGTCTTCCCGCACAGTCTCCGCCGGCTGCGTCTCGACGGCACAGGTGTGCGGTGGGAAGTGGTCCCTGCCTCCAGGCCTGCCTGTGCCGGAGAGCCCCGGCGGACGACGTCGAGGAAGGATGGTTTCGCCGACGGCGCGGCCTCGGCCTCGCTCTCGTAGTCGGAGTAGGTGGCGTCGTCCGACCAACGCATGGTCTTGGAGCGCCCTGAGTTGCCGACGGGGAAGAAGGGTGTTGCGTCGTGGGGAGAGAGGGTAGCCGTACCCACTCCTGTAGAGGTGGAGCGTTGGGGCTGGGTGGCCGGCGGCTCCGGTTTGGCAGCCGGCGGGCTGGTGGGTTCAGGGGGGGGGGGGGGGGGGGGGGACTCCATCCCCCTCCGGGCGGCAGATGTTGGTTCAGAGATCTTGTGGATTTGAGTTAACAAAGCGTGGAAATTCAACAAGTGCATAGCATGGTATGTGAGGCGTTGAACAACCACTAACTTAATTTGAATATTTTTGCTAGTCTTAGAAAATCAGTGGGCATGCTCAATTTGGCTCTGTTTTCTCAACATGCTCCGTCCCATTGCCAAAAGAAGTAACCTTTACAGTAAAAAAAAAATGGCGCAAAGGCCAAGTGGAAGAAAAAGGACATCGGTTCTAGTAGCTCCAGAGTTGCACATCGACGATGTTGGCGTCGCCGAACTCCATGACCGCGGGCGGCGGCTCCATGAGCATTCCCTGCACCAAGCTCGCGCAGTACAAGTCCCAGCTCATGTCGTTGAACACGTCCGGTTCGAACGCCGAGACCCCGGCGGCCGGAGAGGAGTCTGAGGACTCCTCGCCGTCCGTGGCGCTGCCGTCGTCGCTGGCAGGGGACGATGGCGTCGAGGTCGACGCCGAGAGCGCGTCGTCCTCTGGGGCGGCCTCGCGGCGCAGGAAGTCCTCCACGGCCTCGGCGGCCGCGTGGCGCACCTCGGCGAGGCTGGCGTAGGAGGCCGGCACGGCTAGCAGCCACGCCGAGTCGGCGAAGTTGAGGCACGCGCCCGCGCCGGCGATGGCCAGCATGGCGGCGTCGTGCGCGCGCGCGGCCCCCTCCGCGGTGTCGAAGGTGCCAAGCCAGAGCCTGCAGCCACGCCGGCCGGGCACGCGCACCTCGCACACCCAGCGCCCGGCGTTGCCACGGCGCCGGACGCCGCGGAACACGGGGTGCCGCGTCTCCCGGAACTTGGTCCGCCCCGCCGGCCGCTTCGGCGGCGACGTCCACACCGTCTGGTGGTGCTCCGATGATGTCGAGGCCGAGGCTGAGCTGCACGCGGAGCACGACTCGGCGATCATCTCCCTTTTGAATTGGCACATCTTGTTCTGATCACTTCAAGTTCAAGTTTCTTTGAGCGCAGGATGTTGTGGCTGCCTTTGGTGCTGCTTGAATTGTGTTGGAGTGGTTTTTACTGTGGGAATGGCGGATTTGAAGGCGCATATTTATAGGTGCTGGGTGGAGGCCTGGAGGCTGGAGCAGATCAGACAGCAGAGTAGAAAACGCGGGAGGGGAACCAGCGGGCTTGTCCACACCCAGCTGGAGAAGAAAGCAAGGCCATGCTTAGTTTCATCCAAAATCCAAATTTTGACACTATATAAAAAAAAAGATTTCCCGTTATATCAAATTTGCGATACATGCATGGAGTACTATATGTTGATTAAATCAAAAACTAATTGCACAGTTTGGTTGTACTTTGCGATACGAACGTTTTGAGCCTAATTAATCAATGATTGAACAATTATTACCAAATAAAAACAAAACGATACAGCTACAGTGAATCCGGCGGCGCCGACTCCGCCGAACTAAACATGGCCCAAGGGGGTTGCATCTGGGTAAGGTCGCCAGGTCAACTAGGCAACAGGGCGACTTCGAGAGTGACCTGATACTTTTGTAATTTATTATTGCTGTATGTAGTACGACCACAGGACTGCTTTTTGCTTCCGTTTTTCCGTTTCCGTCTCTGTTACAGGCAGCTGTTTTGGCCTCAAAAAATACTACTCTCTCCGTCCCAAATTGTAAGACGTTTAACTTTTTTTTGTCCCAAGTTTGACCACTTATCTTATTAAAAAAATTTATGCAAATATAGACAAATTTAAGTCATTCTTGAAGAATTTTTATTAATAAACCAAACCACGACGAAAGAAGTGATATTTTACACAAATTTTTGAATAAGACGAGTGGTCAAACTTGGTGTCAAAAAAGTCAAACGTCTTACAATTTGGGATGGATTAAGTACTACTCAATATATTTTCTTTTCTTTTTTAGATTAGAAAAGGAACGCCTCTTGTTTGGTGTTAAGAAAAAGAAATGGCCGCAGTTAGCACTTCCCTTTTTTAGTGCACTGTGGCTGTGACCTTTTTTTTGTGGGCATCACTGTTGCTGCGACCTTGTGTCAGTGTTCAGCAATCAAAGAAAAGCTGGCGCATCTTCTCAATTACGGAGTATGAAAGAAAAGGATGGAACCTATATTTCTCAGAAAGGAATTGGAATTTGTGAAAAAAAAAGGAAAGGAATTAGAATTATGCTGCTAGTTGCGGTCGATGTATCGGCGGTCGGGCATGGTGTCCAAAGTTGTGGTCGTCGAACCTTTAGCTTGATTGAAAGTGAAATTAAAAAAAACTTTGAGGTCAACATAGTTTTCACTTCAAACTGGAAATTTGCACCATGTTTTGCATGTCTAGTCTCAACTTGCATAAACCGAGACCACCCACCAAAATCCAGCATCGCCCCCGGTCCCAGGCAAGGCAAACCCGGTATCACAAATTGCAAACCGGAAGCTCCCAGACCTGCACGCTGCGGCGGCGATCGCGTCGCACCAGTGCGGAATCTCCGGATACCACTAGCCACCCGCCCGCTCCTGTCAATCGAAATTCCAGGAGGATGCGGACAAAATTCTACTTTTTGGGTGTCCAGATCAATCAATCCACCCGCTTGCCCGTTTACTGCGGGAGGATCGGAGTGTCGGATTTCGACTCAGGGCGGGCCGGATGAGCAACAGTAGCGTCGACTTCAGGTGAGGCGGGAGGAAGAATGAAGAGGGCCAAGACAAATAGTACCAAAGTATTTTAATGGAGTGGGTCACAAGTGAGCCCAGTTAGAGAGTAAGTGTGTGTTTTGCTATCCTATATGTGTTGCCTCTGTCCCATAGATGGGTATGACTATTGTATCAAACAATCCTAAACTCTGAACCTGAGATTCGTCTTCCATCCTGCCTCTGCTGTTCTCCTCGCCTATGCTCTGTTCTTCCTGTTCCTGTCCCCTTGCTGTTAACAAATTGGTATCCAGATCCTATCCTTCCTTGGCCGAATTAATTCCATCCATCTGCCTTGATCGGAGGTTGTAATCCTTTCCTCGATTTCCATCCTCGAACCCCACAAAATCATCCACGACCATTTCACTGAGTTCAGGAAGCACCTCGGGGCCATGGATCCCAATACCAAGGTTCTTCTCGATGAGCTCAAATGATGAAGACCTCCCTCGAGTCGTCTCTCGGCGGCCGAATCGGAGAGGTGGAGGCGTTGCTGGGCAAGCGGATCGGGGCCATGGAGCACTCCATCGCGGACCGGTTCAATCGCTTGGAGGATGCCGCTAAGGTGTTCGACGAATGGAAGCCCAAGGTGGACGCGTCGGTGGCGGAGCTGCGCGCGGAGTTGGGCGCGGCCCGCAAGTCCGACGCCGTGGTGGAGCAGATGCGCGAAGAGATGACCGCGGTCCGCAAAACCATGAGTCGTGTGGTGCTCGACTCGGATCCTTTAGCATCCGCTGGGGTCCTCAAGCCTCATCCCGTGGTGGCCGCGGCGACATCATCTGCCGGGCACCCGGCCATCGGCCCATTTGTTGGGCACAGCGCTGCACATCACCACCGGGGGTCCGAGCCCATGGCTCAACCCTCGGTCAAGGGTAAGTTCATCGAGATCCTTCCCCAACCACCCATCAGTATGTTCTTCATAAGTCGCTTTCTAGCTCGGCGCTGGATTTGGGGGATCAGGAGTTTCATGGTGCTGGTGGCGCACCGCATGAGCATCGCGCGCATTGGGGGCGTAGTACTCTAGTAGTAAATTACCTAAGATGGATTTTCCAGTTTTTGATGGGGAGGATCCAAAGCTGTGGCTTAGTCGTTGTGATGATTATTTCGACATGTATTTTGTTGAGCCAAGTCAATGGATTCGTGTGGCCACGATGCAAATGACTGGAGCCGTGTCTGTCAGGTGGTCCTTGATCGTTTTGGTCGGGATCAATATGAGTTGTTGATTCGATAGTTATTTCACATTAAATCGATCCGGGCTGTTCAGAATATCTTGACCGTTAGTTGATCGACTCATAGCTTGCGGCAAAACCACAGATCCTTTGTTTTATGCATTGCGTTTCGTTGATGGGTAGCGTGATGATATACGTTCTGCTGTTCATATGCAACGACCTTCTACCGTGGATGTTGCCTGTGTTCTTGCCTTGTTGCAGGAGGAACTGGTGAATCCGAGCAGATGGAAATTACCATCCAAGGCCGTGCCCATGCTGCGCAGCAGCGCCGTTCCTCGTCCCATGTGGGCGTGTCCTGTTGGTGGCACGGCGGGGAGGATCATCGCCCTCGGGGCATCGAGGACAAAGCTGAACACTCTTCGCTCCTATCGACGCCGCCCGTGGCCTCTCGTGATTCGCTGCGGAGAAAATGGTCTCGCAACCATAAGTGCCCCGTAGCTCTTCAGCTTGCACGACTGCAGGAATTCGGGACATGTGCAACAGTGAAGAATCCGAGTCTTTGTGAGGAGGCAGCCACTAAAGATGATTGTACTCAGGTTTTTGCTGTTCAAGTATTGACCACGATCATTTGCACCAACACCAGTTCGATCTATTCAGTTTGAAGGCGGCGTCCAGGGCATTCCAATTCAGATTTTGGTGGACTCAGCAACTCTTGCTCATTTGTTAGCACGACTCTAGCCGATAAGTTGACAGGTGCTACATCTCTGGCCAATCCACCAAAAGTTCGCATTGTTGATGGCAGTATAGTTGAGTGCCCACAATCTTTCAAAGGTTTCTGTCTTGGGAAGTTGATCTTTGCCAGTTCACTTCAGCTTTCTTGGCTCTTCCAATGCCCTCATACGACATGATAATTGGTATGGACTGGCTGGCTACCCATAGCCCGATGCGGATTGATTTGGCAGCACAAGTGGGGTTTGATTCCCTATGGCCAGTCTATAGTGCGTTTTGCAGTGGTAAGCTCGAGAGCTGCCGAGGGCTCGGTCATTCGAGTTATCTTGCACTTTCTTCTAATGATCTTGTAATTGCCACCTAGCCATGATTCCGTGAGAGAAAGCTTCGATTACTTCTCGTTCGGTAATGTCATGTACTTGGGCGATAATTCACCAAATCGTCGATAGTAATCTCTCGAGACTTTTGCCCCCCTTCGCTTGAGTCCCTTTAATTCTGCGTGGGTGATTGGGTGCGTAATGATACCGCAAAATTTTGACAAAAACTCTTTGCAAGTCCTCCCAATTTCTGATTGATCCTGGGTTCAATTTGTCGAACCATTGAAGAGGCATGGTCTCCAGGGCCATGGGAAAGAACAGGGTCTTGATATCGTCCCCCCCAGTGAGTTCAATCGATTGTGAGTAGATTCTGAGCCACTGCCTTGGTTCGGTCTTGCCATCATATTTAGAGTGGTTGGACGGCTTGAACTTGTGAGGTAATCGTATTGAAGCGAGTCTGCTTACAAAACAGGGGAATCTATCATGCGTTCCGGCTTCTCTGTACTCTGATTTGGCACCTCCTTCCAACCAACTGTTGTTTTGGTGAGAGTAGTTCTACGGGGCAGTCCGAATGGGTGCTTCGCTTCTGATCTGCCTTGGTTGTTCGGCTCGGTAGTTTTGACTGTGGTCCCTTCTACTTTCTCTGTTGTGACTTCCACTTGGTCTAAGTCTCTCGAATGCGGACTTCCTTTGATTTTGATCTTCCTTCCTATGAGATGTTGATCTGGCGGGTAGTCTTGAACGGGTTCTTCCATCGTGTGTCTTTAGGGCTGCTGTCCAGAGAAGTTCTCAGAGCTATTCATGCTGTTCGTTGGGATGCGAGGTCGTTCCGAGTTCTTCAAGTGCTTCTCGGATCCTGTTGTAGGGTGTGTTCACCGCACGTCTTTCTTCGACTTCTTGTTCTGATTTTCTTCTATTGTATTCGGCCAGATCTGACTCATATCTGATCCAGGCTTCTTTACGCTGCCTAGCACGTCATTGGCGTCCTTATTTTAATTTGTTTCTTCTTTCTCTGGCTTGCCTCTGACTCTCAGTCTCACCATCGTAGCCCTGGG